GATGGATAGAAGGAAGGGTGGGGGGATGGATGGATGGATGCATAGATGATGGATGGATAGAAGGAAGGGTGGGGGGATGGATGGATGGATGGATAGATGGATAGAAGGAAGGGTGGAGGGAGGGATGGATGGGTGGATGCATGGGTGCATGAGTAGATGGGAAACCGGCTGTCAGGATGTGCTGCTCTTGGGTTGAGGCTTGGTGCCCTGCACTGCTCTCCACCCTCATGTGGGCTCCTTGTGCTGTGCACTCATGAACTTTTGTCCCTTTCCAGGGTGACATCCAGCAGTTGCTTTTCGTCTCAGACCACCGGGCAGCTTACGATTACTGTGAGCACTACAGTCCTGACTGTGACACCGCAGTCCCCGACACCCCCCAGTCTCAGGACCCCAACCCAGATGAATATGTGAGTCAGCTCTGGCTGGGCTCAGGGGGGGGGAGTGTGGTCAGACCCCCAGGATGGGTCTGGAGGGAAGGATACTCGTGAAGAACAGCCGGGGGCAAGTTTTACATGGACCCTTGGGGCGAGGAGTTGAATGGATTCTGGAGAGAAACTTCAGGATCTGCCTCAGTTTACCAAACAGGGCTCCCTAGGGTGGTGGCGTCAGCCAGGGCACGCTGTCCTTTAGCTTTCTGAGCAAGTCCTTTGGGGCCCTGCCGGGTATATCCTGCCTGTCCTGGCTCTAGTCTCTCTGGAGCTTTGTGGGCAGAGTCACCGTGGGGCCTCAGGGACTGTGCTGCTGGCCGGATGCCCGAGCTTGTAGCTGGGGTGCTCTGAGGACCAGCTAGTGTAGGTGACCTCCCCTCTGATTCCCCGAGGGGCGGTGACTGCAGGACAGGCTCCTCCTGAGTGTCCTTGTGCTGTGGCCCCGTCATCCTTCCTCCTGCTCTGCCCCAGCCCCTTCCCCTTCTGCCCTCCCTGTGGGCCCCAGCGGGACCTCGTGTCCTCCATCGACCCTTCTCTCTGAGACCCTGGAAGTGAGCCCCCACCCTGTCCTGCTGGACTCTCGGTTCTCCGTCGCTCCCTTTTCTCAGTTCAAAAGGTGTGCTGGCTTTCACAAGGCTGTATGTCCTATGGCCTTGGCTGCACTCTGGACCCCCATGAGCCCCTCGAGTCCCAGGGCAGGGCTGGGTGGAGCTCCCTGCTGGCCAGGCCAGGCCCAATTCTTGGGAAGCGTACTTCTGAGCTGAGAAGGGCCTTTGGGGTTTGAGTGGAAGGTCGGGGTCTTGCTGGGCCACGCAGGCGCCGTGACTGGCTGGGCTGCCTGATATGAGCTCTAGCGGGTCAGAGCCTGACCTTAAAGTGTCTGGCTTTCTCTAGCTTCCGCCCCAGGGCCTTAGGTCCCTGCCCGGCCCGGCTTCCCAAGGTGCTGAGGAGGGAAGAACAAGACCCAAGAACCTGGGCAGCACGGGCTGGGCCAGGCAGGCCTTGGCGTCAGCTGTCCGTGCCACATCTCAGGGGTGCAGGCTTGGCAGGCCGGGGTCCCCCCTTCACACCGTACCCACCTCACGGGCCATACTTGCTTTCAGTACCCAGACGGAGAAGGCGATGGCGAGACCTATTACTACGAGTATCCCTACTACGAGGACCCCGATGACCCGGGCAAGGAGCCTGCCACCACCAGCAAGCCCGTGGAAGCTGCGAGAGAAACTTCGGAGATTCCCGAGGTCTGGCAGAGCCCGGGATGGGCGGGGCTCGCGTCCCTGAGGCCAGGAGCAGGGCCGGGTGGGACTGTGGAGGCTATACCTGGTAGAGGGCGAGGCGTGGTGGGTGGGGGCAAGGCCCACTGCACTTAGGTGAGCAGGGGAGTGGGGAGGGGCCGCTGGACAGGGAGTGGCTGGGCACTGGCTCCCCTCTGCATCCGCCTGCTGCGAGGCCTTGGGCAGAGGCCTGGGCGAGCCCGGGTCTCATCTGGGTCCCAGTGCCGCCGGAAGCTCACTGCAGGGTCCCCTCTGCTTGGCCATCTCCCTCCCTGGAGAGGAAGGACGGGTGGAGGGTGTGTGGGCCACAGCGCAACCCCATGCGGCCTGCGCCCAGCAGCGCATCGGAGTGGGCAGGGCTGGCGTGTGCGTGTGTGTGTGTGTGTGCATGCGTGTGCATACACGCGCATGTGTGTCCAGCTCATCTGGCCCTGCATGTGTGAACACATGTGGATTTGTGTGTTGGGGGCTGTCCAGGGTGCAATGACCCCGTGTCCTGTTGCTCTAACAACCCAGGCCTACTGAAGCTTTGTAGCTTCGCTGTGTGATCTGCTGCTGGAGTCTTCCTGGAGTCTCTCTGTGCCCCAGACTGCCTCTCTCCCCGAGTCCCCAGGGCTCGGCTGGACGCTGGCTGGGCTGTGGCGCCCACCTATGTGTGCAGAGACCCCATGCTGGAACCCTGAGGTGCCCCAGGCCTGGGCTTCCTGACTGCTTCTCTCCCTTTGGCTTCCAGGACCCCACGCTACCCCCCACAGCAGCCCCTACAGCGCCTGATTCAGTGCCTGACTCGGTGCCCGAGACCAGCGAGCGGGCTGGTGGGGAGGAAGATTATGATTATGTGCCCCCCGACGAGTACTACACCTCCCCGTACGAGGACCTCAACTACGGCGAGGGTGTGGAGAACCCGGAGCAGCCCACCGACCCCGACATGCCAGCTGAGGTCCCCACAAGTGCCACAGCTGGCTCCAACAGCTCCAATGTAATTTCCTTCCTCTCCATTGGCTTGGGGGGCCGTGGTGGGGGGCCCAGATTTCTGGTCTCTGCCTCTCACCTTGGGTGTCTGCAAGCGGCCACCACACCCCAGTTCTTGGGCCTTAGCACGTGGTGAGGGTGGGGCGGCTGTGTTTGGTGCCCTCGCTTGCTGAGTGGCTCTCAGGCTGGCCCCTTTTGTCACCAAGCTGGCAAGTGGGCAGAATGCCCTGGTCCTGGGGGCCTCGGGATCAGGTGCGGGCAGATGAGGAGGTGCCTCTTATGGAGCCCCCACCTGTGCCAGGGCATGGGACCTGGATAAGGGCGGATAGGGCGAGGCTGGGCAGCACTGGTCAGGACCGAGATGTTGGAAAGCTCCGCCCCCTGGAGCTCGGGCTCCCATGGTGGGACCTGCAGTGCAGCCTCTCCAGGGTGCTGTGGTTCTCAGCTAAGGGAGAGTGTCACCGGCACATGGCTCAGAGCAAGTGCCCATCGCAGCCCTGTGTGGCACTGTCCTCCACTGCCGGGGGTGGGGGGTGGCAGCCGGTCGTACAGAACCCTGATCCTGGACTCTGGGGCCCCAGGTGGCGCTCTGCCTGATGCAGACCTCCCCGGAGAGACGGGCCACATCCTGGCCTGCTAGCTCGGTACCGTGCTTTGGGAGAGTCCCTGGGAAGATGAGGAGAAAGGAGGGGCTTCTGGCTGCAGCTCTGGCGTCTTGTGGGTCGGAAGCTGCTGGCCTTGAGCGCTGAGAAGGGGTGTCAGGTGCCCACATGGCGGAGTGGCGTGCTTGTGCTGCTGCCCTTTACTTGGGTGACTCGCCACTCCGTCCTGTGCCCCTACAGCCGGCTCCGTCCCCAGGGGAAGGGATTGATGACCTGGACAGCGAGTTCACGGAGGAAACCATCAAGAACCTGGAGGAGAGCTACTACGACCCTTACTTCAACCCTGACTCTGACTCCAACGGCTCCCCGTCGGAGATAGGGCCCGGCATGCCTGCAAACCAGGACACCATCTACGAAGGGGTGAGCGGCACAGCTCCACATGGGCAGCGTGGGCAGGGCAGGGGCCCGCACGGGGGCGCTCTCAGATGCTGCGGACGTGACCGCGATGGTGACTGTGCCTGAGCTCCCAGGCCTCCGGCCCTCTGGCCTCGGTCTCCCCCAGCCTGGTGCTGCGAGGCCTGTGGGGGGTGTCCCGGGGCGGGAGCACTGGTGCTGCCAGCGTCGCGTGACCTGGACCTCTGTTGTCCTTGTCTCTCCTGCACTCCCCACCGCAGATTGGAGGGCCCCGGGGCGAGAAGGGTCAGAAGGGAGAGCCGGCCACCATCGAGCCGGTAAGAACACTTCCTGCACGTCTTGGCACATTCGCCGTGGGAGACGGGCATGGTCGGGGGGGTGCCTGGATTGGTGGGCCATGCCAGGGCTTGGCGGGGACCCCCGGGGTGGTGGAGGGCTTGGGTGAAGGGCACGGATCGGAACTCAGGTGCCCCTGTGTCGGGCAGCAAGGGTGGGAAGGCTCCCAGGGACACTTACAGGCGTGTCTGTGAGTCCGGAGCACAGCTGCCTGGCGCTGGCTGCCCTCCTCGCTGAGGAGGCCATGCTGTGGCCTGGCTGGGGGCCCAGGCTCTACCTTGTGGCTTCAGAGCTACCCGCTGGGGCCTGAACTGCCAGATAAAACCGTGTGAGCAGCCTGGGGATGGGCCTGCAGCAGGCCTGGAGGGCATCCGTGTCAGGGGAGCTGCCACCTGGGTCCACCTGCTGGGCCACCTAAGTGCCACGGGAGGAGGAGCGTGTCCTGCACCAGGGCTGGGCTCTAGGCCTGCTAGGTTGTCATTCTCCTTCTAGGACTGGTGTCCAGGGACTCTAGGGAAGGAGAAGTCACTGCATGGCCTCACCCTCCTGCGGGAAGGGGAAGGTTTCAGGTGCCTGGCGGGTGGTGGAGTGCAGTGAGCCCTCCTCTCTCTGATCTGTGTGAAGTCCATGGACAGGCGGACTGGACGCCCCGCTGTGTGGGGTGCTGGGGCAGAAGTGGGCCAGCTGCACCATGTTCCTTGACAGGGGTGTGACCTGTCACCCCATGGGCTGTGAGCGCCAGATCTGTTCCCCTTCTTCCCAGACCAGCACCCCTTACCAGAGCTCTCTGCAGCCCAGGAGTCAGGGCAGGTGGAGGTGTGAGGCTCAGGCCACCTCCAGAGGTCCCTTGTCCAGCCCCATGGGAAACCGATAGCCCCAAGTCTGGAAAGGCGACGTTGGGTGGGGGCAGGCTCTTCTGCCAGAATATGGTAGCAGGACACCAGTCCTGGGTTTGCCTGGAGATATCTGTGGCAGAAGTGGCCTCCCTGGTCCAGCCCCACTCGTCTCCCCTGGGTGCTGGGCTTTTCTATCCCACACCCACACGGCTCTGGGGACAGAAGCTGCAGTGCCCGCGTGTCCCACGGGCTCCAGGGGAGTGAGGACGTGAGCCAGCTTCCGACACAGGCAGGGCCTCCAGCTGACTTGGGGCTCCTTTTACGATGTCCTTCTTGCTTCAGGGAAAGTGGAGTCTTCCCTGGGAAGAAAATGAGATCCTAAGAAAGGACAGGGGCCAGGGCTCTGTGGGGTCCTGGGCTTGTCCCCTTGTTTGGAGCTGAGTGCATGTGGAAGTGGGGTTCGGGCTCTGGGAGTGAGGAGGGCTTGGAGAGGGCCGGGGCGGCCTGAGCGCAGCACTCAGGAAGTGGAGCTTGGCCAAGGCCCACACGAGCACTGGGCCTCTTGGGCACCCATCCTGTCCTCACCAGGGACAAAGGACATCTGGGGGCAGTCAGGGAGGGATGGAGACCCCACTGTGCCTGCATTTGCCTCCTCCCAGCTCCCAGTCCCTTCAGAGCCTCTGCCCAAGCTTTGGCCAGTGTCCCTGGAGAGATCCCAGGCCCAGCTGCTGTCTTAACTGGAGTGTCGCCGGCTGTCCTCAGAGTCTTGGCTGCCTGGAGCAGGTGGTCTGGTCCTGGGAGCCTGCTGCAGACCTCCCCAGCCCCGCCTGTGTCGGAGGCTGGCTCACGTCCTCACTGCCCTGGAGCCCCTGGGACACGCGGGCGCTGCAGCTTCTGTCCCCAGAGCCGTGGGCGTGGGATGGAGCTGCTGTCTCGTTCCCGCCCCCTGGGGCTTGTTAGCCTTAGAAGGCTGAGGACCTGCTGAGCAGTAAGATGTCAGGTTGACCAGTCAGGAACAGGAAGTCCTCAAGGGCTTCTTCCCTAGGAGGATCCGGGGGCCCCTGAGCTCCACTTGCTCCCCTTTGCTGTTCATTGTGTTTGGTTTATATGTGAGGCGTTCACTTCTAGAGTTGGTTTGAGTTCGGGAAAGTCTGAGGTCTTTCTTTTGCTCGACGTCTTCGGATCGTGCGTCCTTAAGGTGACAAGATAACGTGACACTTTGAGGCTCTCACCCTGTGCGAGTTCACACAAGGTCGTCATTCTGGTCAGGCAGGTGGACAGTTCCACCCTTGCTGTGTGTGTTTGTGAGGTACAAGGACCTAGCGCCCAACCACCGATGCCCCGTGCCCTCTTGGCAGCTAAGTGCCCTCCTGCCACGGCTCGTCCCCGACTGACTCGGGATGTGTGACAGGGTGGGTGGGCGCGGCCCAGGGCTGCAGGGGTCGGGGCCTCCCTTCGGGCTCGCCCGCCCCTTTGTTCCCGCCTCCTTGCCACGCCGACCTGGCATAGTCTAGGCTTGGCCTCGCTTGAGGTCCCGGCCAGTGTTGCCCCGGTTCCCCAGGATGCAGCGTGTGTGTCCGGGAAGGCAGCTGGGGTCCCCCAGGCCCTCACTTAATCCCTGCTCAGTGACTGAATCTCTCAGCTGCCTGGCCAGGCAGGAAGCGGGGAGCTGGGATTACGGCCCTGGAGGAACACACCAGTGCCCCTGCGCTTCGCACGCAGGGCTCTCCCTCAGGCGCACAGCTGTGTAAACACGGAGCCTCTGGCTGGGTGGGAGCCTTGGGGGCTGGGCAGGGGAGGATGGGCCGGCTCCCACAGCAGCCCCGCACGCCCCCCATGCCCCCTCCCCGGGAATCCATTCTCTGCTTAGAAGCAGGCCACGTTTCTGGGGGCCACGCACTGTCAAAGATGGTCCAGAGAGCATCAGTTTTGCCTCCAGGGCTGTGATTCCCCTTTGCCTTTCCTGTGGCCTGGGACACAGGACCTGGGGACCTGAGGCCTCGCACCCTCTGTCTTGCAGGGCATGCTCATTGAGGGGCCGCCCGGCCCGGAAGGACCCGCCGTGAGTGTCGGGGGCTTTTTTCTGTGTCTTGGGGGAGGGGCTGTGGGGGCACCCTGAGCACCCCGGGGGAAGGGAGAAGGACTTGCCGCTGGTGCCCCTGAGGGGCCTCTGCCCACTCCGCTCAGCTGTGCCCGTGGCTGCCTCTACTTGTATCTTGATTTTCTTTTTAATTCCAGGGTCTTCCAGGACCTCCAGGAACCACAGGTCCCACTGGCCAAGCGGGCGACCCTGGAGAGAGGGTAAGAGGGTGGCTGTCCCTGGGGCCGTGCTCGAGTCCTGGATACCCTGTCCTCAGGGGTCCCCTGTCCTCGGCCTCCTCACAGGCTGTGAGGGCCCCCTGACCCCTGGTGGCGCCTTGGAACATTGCAGCCTCTGGGTTCATCTGTTTTCCTTTCCCTTTATATAGTTTTTGGTTTTTTGCTGCTGGTTAATTAATGAGCACTGGGTGAGTTTAGGATTAGGAGTCCACAGGGAGCTGCAGAGGAGAGGAACGCAGGGCGTGTGGGGCAGGCCCAGGTCTCCGGGTGCATAGGCCCCTGAACCCCCAGCAGCATTTCTCAGGGCTTCCTGGCTTGCTGGGTATCATGGGTGTTGCCCGTGGACCGATGGGGCTGCGCGGCTGCCAATCACAGTGACACCACAAACCTCCCCAGTGAGTGGACAGGGGCAGTGGTCATCCCTCTGGGACATGGAACAGGTGGGGTCTTCCCTGGGCGAGAGAGGTGGAGCAAGAGCTCCTGCAGAGGTTTGTGAAGGGTCAGTTGGCAAAACCAGAAGTCGGGGTCTGGGAGCATTCGTGCGGCTAGACTGTTGCATGGGCTTTGGGGTGCTCCTGAGGTTAGGGATGGAGACGACCAGCACGCTACAGGCAGCTCCTTGTTCCCACGTGGCTTGGGTGAGGCCCCCCTCAGAGTGATCCCTGGCCCCAGTGCCCGTGTGAATGGGAGTGCGCTGTGCACACATGTGTACAACACACACAAGTATGTGTGGATGTGTGCATGTGTATGTGCACAGCTACACGGTGCGCAGGTACCTGCACATACACACGGCGAACATACGTCGCAGACAGTCTCTTTCCCAGGAGCAGGGAACCTCGAGTCTTAAGTTGGGGGTGCGGCTTGGTATCAGTTCTGCTGCGGCTGGGACCATTCCATTTCCCAGAGAAAGCCTGGACTGTAAAACACGCCTGTGCGGGTGTGTGCACACACGTATGCGTGCAGTGCTGGGATGCAGGCCAGGGCCCTGCGTGTGCCGGGCCAGGGCTGCTCCCCTGAGCCGCCCTCCCGGCCTGGGTCCTTGGTCTGTGAACAGGATTTTGTCCTCTGGAAATCTTTCCAGTGCGGCAGGCAGGGGCCGTTGGCAGTGCCCATTAGCAAGGCGAGGCCCAGGCTGTGGCCAGCTGCTGTGCTCCTGGAGCCTGCCTGGCGGGTGCCTGGCAGAGTGTTCATCACGGCACCATTGGTCCCGTCCACCGAGGAGGGGTTACGCAAAGCCCCCCAGACCATGAGAACAAGGGCAGTGACATAAACAGGCCACGGGTGGTGTGAGGAGTGTGGGGCCAGGACGGTCGCAGTGCTGCAGGTGAGGGGCTGCCTCTCGAGCCTGCGGAGCACCACGTGTGCCAGACTCCACCAGTCCGAGTTCTGGCTCTTTCTCTGCACACACGGATGGCAGCCCCGAGACTCCTGCAGGAGGAGCAGGCTGTTCTCTGCTCACTAGAAATTCTTATGGCACCTGCACATTGCGTGAGAGCGAGTATCCCTTCTGTAACCAAAATGCCTATTGCGGGAAAGGCGGGATGGCTCAGCTCCGGCCAGAAGAGTCCTGCCCTCCGGGAGAGATCCTTCCTGGCTGGAGCACGGTGCTCCGTCTGGGTGCACACCAGATGCTGGGTAGTTGTGACACCAGCGCCTGGCCTTAGCCGGGCTATGGTCATGGGCAAGGAGTCAGTGCCATTGGGGTGTACAGTGACCCCAACTCCCTGGAGCCAGGTGCCTGCGCTGGTGACACGCTGTGTGATCAGACCGGCCACACAGTCTGATAATAAAAGTGAGGCCTCTCGGTCACTCTGGGTCCCGTCATCCTGAGGCCAGAGCCCTGCCAGAGATGCTTGTCCTGGGCCTGGCTGAGAGGCCAGGCTGCTGCTTTGGGGGCGGGGTCTTTCCTGAATACCCTGGAAGTTGCTGGGATGGATCTGTCTGGGCCAGACCAAGGATGGGCACTGGGCCGGGCAGATGGGCAGCCTGGCTCGTGTTTCTGTGTGGTGAGGAGCCGGGGCAGGGCACCATGGGTCACAGGCACCGCCACGGCCGGCCCTCTGCCCTCGGCCCCGCTGGACTTGCTCTCTGGCCCTTGTGCTGCCCTGCCCCTCCTTCCTGAGGCACTTCCCCCGGGCTGGGCAGTCCTTGGCCGGGGGCCTCTTGTGGTCCATTCCGTTTCCAACAGGCCGTGCCCCCGGTGTCCTCATCCCCACTGTGGCCTGGCACCATCCCTGTCCTGCTCTGACCTGTGTCCTCTCTCTGTCCCCAGGGTCCACCTGGGCGCCCTGGCCTTCCTGGGGCCGATGGCCTTCCTGGCCCACCTGGGACCATGCTCATGCTGCCGGTGAGTGTGTGCGTTTGGGGGTACACAGAGGCCCGAACATGGGAGAGGCCGTGTTTCCAGGAGAAAAGTCTCCTTGGCCCCAGTGTCACCTGCCGGGCCAGCCACCGCCCAGGGTAGTTTTCGTATCAGGAGAGGGGAGGGGGCCAGAAGACTGTGTGGTGCAGGGTCGGGCTTGGGGGGCCGGGGCCACCACGGGGCTGTGAGGGTTTCTCCCTTCAGGCAACTCCTAGGCGCGGGAAGGGAAGGCAAGAACGCCACTTCCTGTGGGCACTTGTCCTGGGGCCCTGGATAAAGGCGCTCTGTTTAGGTCCCCAAGCAGACAGACCGTGTGGAATCGGGGTGCCCTTTCCAGGGCAGTGCTCATTGGCTGTCACTAGGGCTGTGGGTGGGTTTTGGGGGACTCTGGGGCTGACATCTGCATGCGGGGTGGGTGTGGCCAGCGTTCTGCGTCCCCTTAGAGCCTGTCCTAGGGCCCAGGAGATGCCACGTCATGCCCGAGTGACCCTTGTCGTCCTCTTCCAGTTCCGCTTCGGAGGTGGTGGAGATGCAGGCTCCAAAGGCCCCATGGTGTCGGCCCAGGAGTCCCAGGCCCAGGCCATCCTCCAGCAGGCCAGGGTGAGTGGTGCAGGGCCCGGGGCTGCAAGGGGCAGAGCCGCAGCGCTAGAGTGGCCCCTGAGCTGTGTGGCCGGAGGGCGGGGCCCCATTGGGTCCCTGTGAGCCTGGGAAACTTGGGGGCAGCGTCCCTTGTCCCAGTGAGGGCTGTGAGGCCCCCTGCTGGGCTGGATGGGCCCTTCTTTTGCTGCTTGCGGATGCCTAGGTTGGAGCAGGCTGAGACTGGGGCCCTGGATGGAGCAGAGAAGACCCACTGGTGGGGTGGCTCCTTTGGATGCCTGGGGTAGGCAGAGAGCCCTAGGCCTGTGGCCTGGGGAGCGTGGCATGCAAAGGGGGGTGCTGCTTCCTGGGAACCAGCCTGCAGTGGACTGCTCTTTGTGGCATTGGGGACTGAACACACCCACGGCCCTCCCCCTTTTCTGTTCCTCATTTTGAAGACAGGCTCTCACTGAGTCAGTGGGTTGCCTGGGCTAGGCTTGAACTTGCAGTCTTCCTGTCTCAGCCTCCCAGGACGTGGGAATCAGGCTGGTGTCTGCATTTCTGGTGGATGTGGCTCCCGCTAGCCAAGGGGGTGATGGGGGCAGTGGGCTGGCCCCCGTGGGTGTGCAGGGAGGCTGCCGGGCCATCCCTCATTGGTGGGTAGTTGTGCACTGCCACGCAGCTGGTGCAGTGCTGATGGATGGAGTCGTGGGTGATCGCAGCGCAGCTTATGTATTGAGCAGCTGCTGCAGAATGGACAGGCTGGTGACACAGTGTGACACCAGGCAGGCCTTCCCCTGCGCCTGGATTTATTGACCCAGGCTGTCAGCTGGCCTTTCCCTCCATGTGTGTCTCAGCTGAAGCTGAGGCAGTGATGGGTTCAGGAGGAGATTTTACAGTGTGAAAGAACCTTCCAAAACTGAAACGGCAGGGGCAGGCTCACAGGCCTAGGGCAGACCGGCTCTCAGAAGCCGGGCTGAGCTGTGGTGGCAGGGAGCCACCACTGAGGGCTAGGTGGGGATGGAGAGCCCAGGGCCACGTGGGCTCCCACATGCCCCAATGCCCTCCAGTGCTGAGAGGGCTCAGTAGGTCTCCTAGGGGAGTGAAGAGCCTGCGGGGTGGGGTGGCCCTGGCTGCCCTGAGGGAGGCCACCTCCCGGGCTCAGGGCTGCGGTCTCACTGCAGTGGGCACTGGGCCCCTGCAGGACGCCCGGCCCTCTCCCGGAGCTCCTGCCCCTCTCCTGCCCTGTCTGCCCACTCCCTCCTGGCTGCAGCTCACTGTGTTCCTGTTTCCTCTGCAGCTGGCACTGAGGGGACCAGCCGGCCCGATGGGGTTGACAGGGAGGCCCGGCCCCATGGTGAGTCTGGGCCCTGGGTGGGGCTGTTCCCACTGTGTCCCCCGCAATGCGGTGGTCGTGCAGCTGTGGGGACGAGTGGCCCCTGGGTGCTGCCCAGCCCCTCCTGGGGGTCCAGGTGGGTGGCTCTGGCTCAGGGCTGCTCAGGGGTCTCAGTGTCTGGGAGGCAGCCCCACCTGTCTGGGCTGCTGGGGGGGAGAGTGGGAGCCCCGAGCACCCTGCAGGGCGCATGATCCCAGGTGCCACCCTCACCGTGAAGATGCTGCAGGTGGGTGGAGCTGAGCCTTTGGAGGGACAAGGGCCTGCTGGGCCGGGGGCTGGGGCGCCCCAGGGACCAAGCCCCCCACAGCCCCCTTGCCTGTGGCTTTGCCTTGTGGACCAGGTCTGAGCCTGTCTTGCTGGGTCCCCTCTTTCCTTGTGGGCCTGTGTCAGAGTCAGGGTAACCCTGGCATGGGGAAGCCCCCGGGCATGCAGCTCTGCCCCCTCCCCCCAGGACTTTGGCTCGACTCTCTCCGGGGCCCTCGAGGCATGAGGTGGACATGGCGTGCGAGAGTGACACTCAGGTCCTGAGGGTGTCCGGGCCTCCCAGAGTGTGAGGTCTGACCTCACTGGGCTTCTGGTGGGCTGTGCATCTGCCCCTGGGCCTGGCCTCAGTCTCTCCCCGGGCCTCTCCTGGCCCAGGCCCCTGGGACCCTGGGGTGCACGCTGTTTCGAGGTGGCTCTGAGGGACGCGGGCCGCCATCCTGAGGAGGAGCCACCTGTGTGCCACGTAGCCCAGGAGCCTGGCACCTGGAGTTCACATGACCCGGAGCATCAAGAACAAGCCAGAGCTCTGGGGCTCTAACTCCCGGAATCCCGTTGATGTCCCAGCTGCTCTGCTGCGGCCGGGCGGGTTGGTGGGGTGTGGGATGCCGTGAGCCACCATGTGCAAGCCCGCCCCTCCCCTCAGCCCTCGTGGAGCGCACGCTAATCCAGAGCTGTTTCCACAGGGCCCTCCTGGCAGCGGAGGTCTGAAGGGCGAGCCGGGCGACATGGGGCCTCAGGTATGTGGACACCCTGTGCGCCCTCGGCAGGGCAGGGCTGTCCTGCTCATGGCCGGGGACCAGAGTGGCAGGGCCCTTCTTGCCGCGTTTCTTCGGGAAGACAAGCAACAGGAATGGCGGTCACTGGGGCCCTGGAGCAGCAGGGCCCGGCTTGGCTGGGAGCCTGTCCTTGCCCTCTCCCAAGATGCCATGTGTTGGCGCTGGGACAGTGAGGGTCAGGCTCAGCCAGTGAGCGTGGGGGTGAGGCTTTGCTTCTGAAGAAGGGCGGATGCTGACCCTGTCTTCTGATTCTCCTGCAGGGGCCCCGAGGTGTCCAAGGCCCTCCTGGCCCATCAGGGAAGCCCGGAAGACGGGTGAGTGCTTGGGGGCCGTGATCAGGTGGGGTGGGGCCAGCTGGGTCCCTCGGTCTGCGGGACCTGGCCCTGGTGCCCAGCCCGTTGCCTGGGTTCAGCCATGGCCCGGGTTTCGTGGGCAGCCTCAGGGCTGCAGACCCAGCCCTGGTTTGGAATCCGTGCCCAGGCACAGTGATTTTCGTCTGCTCCTGGGATTTCCTGTTGGGAGTCAGTCTCCTGGGGGCTCCCCAGCTCCTAGAAGTGTGCATATTTACAGAATGGTGAGAGCTACCCTGGCCAGTTGGGGTGCCCCAGTTAACCCCATGTTGCTCAGACCCATGGGACCCCCGCAGCCAACGCCCTCCGCTCTGAGGCACAGGCAGGGGCTGCACAGGCTGATCCCACAGGGTGCACCCTGGGAACCCTGCTCAGGAGTCACCAGCCCAGAGGACTGTTATCTGGGGCCAGGCGCTGAAAACAGTTTGATCTTGGTAGCTTTCCCATGTGACTCTGTGGACGCAGCTAAGTGTCCCCAGAGGTGCCCTGGCCCGGGCGAGGCGAAATTAGGAAAGAGAGTCGTGCATGCGGTTTATACGTGGACAGGTGGCTGACTTAAATTGTGGCAGAGCTGGGACTGTGCCAGGGCCCCAGGAAGTCAGTGTGCCCGAGATGCCTGCAGAAGAGGGTGGGCTCCAAGGAGCCGTGCTGGGGCTGTGGACCATCCGGATGCCTCGCGGCGTGGGTCCTCCCACCTGTCTAAAGCCCACAGCAATGCAGGGGCAGGCTGTGCCTGCAGGCTGTGTGTCCACTGAGGAGTCCCACCCCACACAGCCCCCACTTCTAGTCCCCTTCCTGACCTGTGGGTACCTCTCGTTTTTCTTCTCTGCTGTTCTCCTGTGCTGTCTTCACCGCCTGTCACCCTGGGAGACCCCCGACCGCTGTCCCAGTGTTCTTGCCTGGTGGCACATTGACGGGCCAAGGCCTGTCTGACCAGGTTGCACAGGACGTAGAATGCGGGTGCTCGATGTCGGGTGCTCCTCCTTAAGGGCCGTGTGGGGAATGTCCCGGGGCTGACTGAGCCCTGTCGCCTCTGGGGCTCTTCCTGCGCTGATCATGGGGCCTAGTGGCGGACCCTCAACCTCCAGGCCCTGCCTGCCAGCCCTGTGGCCAGTTAGCTGGGTGTGGCGGGCTTGGCCTTGGCCATTGCGTGGCCATGGGAATGGCCACTGGTGACAAGGTGACAGCTCATCCTGGGGCCCTGTGTGGCCTGAGGAGGCACAGCCTTTCAAGGCCTCAGTGTCTCCTTGAAGGTGGACTAGTTGATGCTTTTCTCCTGCGCGTGAGCCTGCAGCCTGTCGCCTGTCTGCCAAGGGGTAGGGGAGGGTGCCGCTCACACACCGCAGCACGCCCTGCGTCCAGAGCGAGGTGCTGGAGACTGGCAGCTCCAGCAGGGTCTGGCATGTCCAGAGGCAGGTGGCGCCCTGCCAGGTCACCCAACGCGGCCAGCAGCACCTTGCTCTTGGTGTGTGCTGAGCAGTCTCAGGGCTCGGGACCCACGTTCTCTGGCAGACCCGATGCCAGGAGGGGCTGCGGTCCACCCTGGCTTCTGTTTGTAGTGAACTGCCCGCCTCCCGTGCTGACCACCGTGCTCTTCCTCTGTTCCAGGGCCGGGCTGGGAGTGATGGAGCGAGAGGCATGCCCGGACAAACAGGCCCCAAGGTAGGCTGCGCCCACACCTCCTGGGGCCGGCACTGAGGTCGACATCATTCCTGTTGCCATGGTGACTGTGCAGCCCACGTGTAGATTGTGCCCTGAATGTGGTCATGGTGGGCACTGCCAGCTCCTTGGGGTCAGCTCCCTGGGATGGCCAGTGTGAGTGATAGCCACGGTCATTTTCTCTAAGGGGCAGCTTGTTCCTGTCACCTGGTGGTGAGCAGTCTGGGGTGGAATCCCAACTGTGAGAGCCACCCGTGTGGTCCGGCCACATGCTTGGGGCAGGATGGCCTTGGCAGGGTGGCCAGGTGGCTCTCGTGTGCAATGGGCAGCTCTTCTTACCTGCTTGCAGGTTGTCTGGGCTGTTGCCAAGCAGCCAGATATAGCCTGTGAGTGCGCACCAGGCCCACGCTGCATGGGGCCAGACCTAGGCCGGTGGGTGCCCTCCCTGTGGTCCCCGTGTCCACCCTGTGCCCTGACCTTGCCTGGACCTTCATCCCACCCACGGGCCATCTCTCCTGCTGGCTCAGGGAGGTGACAGAGGTGATGGTGCCTTGGTGACCCAAGGAAGCCAGGCGTCTATTTCCTCTCATTGTGCCCTGCTGGGGTGGCTGGACCGCTCTCCTGGGTCCTAAGTCCTGAGAGAGGATGGTCTCTGGTGACCCGGGGAGACAGGAAGAGGGTCACCCCGAGGCAGGCCTGGGAGGCGTGGGAAGGCTGGCACTGGTGGAGTGCCGGGAGCTGGCTGTGCTGCAGCTTGCCGGAGGACAGGCAGGAGCCCGCTGCCATGCCCACCCGCTGGGAGGCAACGCACGTGCGCTAACGGTGCAGGAGCCACTGGAGATGCTGGTGACTCAGAGCCTGTGTGCCCGTGGCCTGAGGCCAGGGACAGCAGCTGCCCCTGCTGGGGCTTAGGGAGCTGGGGCTCTCTCTCACAATGAGAGGCGGGCTCTGGAGAACTCAAGAGGTGAGCTGCAGTGAGGGGGCCACCCAGTGGCCACCAAGGCCAAGTGGGTCCAGTTCAGTGGCCCAGAGGAGGGCGGCCACTGCTCGGGCAGCTGTGCCATGGCTTCTGATGCAGCTGTCTGTTGTCTTTGCAGGGTGACCGCGGCTTCGACGGCCTGGCTGGCTTGCCTGGCGAGAAGGGCCACAGGGTGAGTGTCGGGTGCCTGGAGTTGGCAGGGGTTTCTCGGGGGGCTCCCACGCAGCCTGGTTGCATATATAGGGTTGGAGTCCCCTCCATTCCAAAGCGATTCTGCAGGCAACTCTTGGGGTGGCGAGGAGCTGACCCGTAAGACACTGCCTCTGCTGAAGGAAAGTCAGCAGAAACAAATAGCGTTCTCCTCTGCAGCTTGCAGCCGGCAAGCTCCGTGGCCCAGCAGGCCGCTCCCCCGTGGGCCTCACAGGGCTCTGGGGCCACGCCCCACCTGGAAGCCACCTTCTAGTGGCACATCTTCCCCCTTCCTCAGGGAGCCATTGGCAGAGCTGCCAAAGACACGCTGGCCATTGGTGGCTGAGGAAGGGGGACAACCTCAACTCCTGCGCATGTCAGGGGGGGCGGGGACCAGTACCCGGATGTCTGCCCTGGTCCCCCCGCCCTGGGTGGCAAGGGCTGGTTCTGATGTTTTCTCCCTGACCTGCTTTCTTTGAAGCAGATTTCTTTGATGTTTCCCTTCAGTTTTGACACATTTGGGACAAACGGGCGCTTGTGTATGTGCATACACACACACATGCATGCACATGGACGCATATGACTGTACACACACGGGCCCACATGGGGGCATGCATACATACCGGGGCACACACACACATGCACACACACACATCTGCATGCACCCCCATGTGTGCGCACTCAGGCACATGCTAGCACGCCCTTGTGGATCAGGCCGGTGGGAGTCGCTCGTTACATTCCACTGCATGCTGAGAAGTGGCAGCTGGGGTTCACCCAGAGCTTCCTCTTCTGCACCCCTGGGAGTCCTGTGAGACCAACCCACGCAGCTGTGAGGCAGAGCCCCGCTCAGCGCCAGTGCTGCTGATGCCTGCGGGGCATGGACTGAGCGCCAGCTGTGTGTGAGGCGCAGGCACACAGTAGGCGTAGGAGGGCTGTGGGTGTGCTGCTGGGTGGCTCAGCCTCAGCTCAGAGGCCTGGAGCACCCTGGACCCTGTGGGCTGCTCAGCCTCCTGATATGACCATCTAGGTGGGACTCGGGCCTCAGCTCTAACCGCCCCCACACTCACAGGACTTGGGGTTTACAGGGTCAAAATTAGAGAACAAGGCAAGGGGTGCTTGAGGCAGCACCGTGCCCGGCTCAGGTGTGGCTGACGCTCACTGATTGACTTCCTAGGGTGACCCTGGTCCTTCTGGCCCACCAGGACCCCCGGGAGAGGATGGAGAAAGGGTACGTACCCGACCTGCCTACAGTGTACCCGCCTGCTTGCTCTTCTTTGAATCTGGGTGGGGACACTGTGGGCGAGGCCAGTTGCTGCAGGGTGGCTGGGCAGAGGGGGAGCCAAGGTTCCAGTTTGGGGAGGCGCTGAGAGCTCCTGAGATAGACACAGATGCTCACATTACCTTGCGGCACCCTCCCTTCCGCTAGGGGAGCAGGCCTCTCCTGCCATGGGTCTCAGGCAGAGCCTCTCTAATTGCGGGAGGCAGGTGCCCCTTGCCCACAGGGGCGAGATGCGGAGGCTTAATGAGCTAGCATCTCAAAGACCTCACTGAAGGTGGCAGGAAGGTGGCAGGTGTGGGTGCACTGGGTGCCAGCGGGAGCTGGGAGGAGGGCGAGGCTGCAGGAAGCAATTATCCTGGGCCCTGGAGGTGGGGAGGGACAAGTGACTGGATTTGGAATGGAGCAGGTGGGGCAGGGAAGCTGTCCCCAAAGCTGGCGCTTCCGCAGCTCCTGAGCCCCGGTTCTTGCCACGCGCATCCCTAGGCCCCTCCTCCACACACCCTGCTCACAGGGTCTTTGGGCATTGGGGTACTTAGTGGAGGCTTAAGAACATCTGGACAATGAAAGAGATCGGTGGGCAGGGTGCAGAGGAGCGGGCTGCAGGGGCTTTTCTGTTCTCACCACTGTGGCACTGCCCTGGCAGGGCTCCTGTGCCAGCCTCAACAGTCTGCTGTAGGGGGAGGAGGGGAGGAGAGAGGAAGGGAGGAGGACTCCTTCTACACTTGATCTGGGCCAAAGGCCAAGACGCGATAAGGAGGGATCCTTCCAGATGCCTGTGCTCCGTGATTCGGAGGAAATTGTGTGTGAGGGCCCACGTGTGCTAGTGTGTGCATGGGTGTGTATATATGTGCATGTTTGGGGTGTTTACATGTACACAAAGGTGTGTGTGCGCGTGTGCATGCTCATGTGGCCCTGCGCATGTGTACGTGTGGAGGTGTTGTGTGTGCATGCACAGAGTGTGCCTACCCTTTGGGGGCAGGAGAAAGTGGTGGCATGTGGTGAGCTGAGCTGCAGCAGCCCCAGGTGTGGACTGGCACAGCCTGCCCCTGGGCTGCTCAGGACCCAGGCCCCCACTGGTCAGCAGGTGCTGGCCAGGGGCCCTGTGACTCATCCTGCTGCCTTTCTGTCCCAGTTTTTGTCACTCACGAGGGTGACCAAGACCTTTGAGTTCCGTGACTTTCCTGCCTGGCTGCCGTGGGCCTCACTGGTGGCCCGTGGGATCCAGGCAGCTGCGGCTGGCTGGGGTGGGTCTCCCAGGCCTTTCCTGCTGGTGTGGGACCAGGAAGCGTCAGGGGCTGGTTTGGCCACGGCCAGAGCCCTGCGGCGTGGCCGGTGGAGCGGCATCGTCTCTGGGCGTCTACACCCTGAAGCTCGTCCCTGAGATCCCTCTGCTGTCTCCTCCGCAGGGTGATGATGGCGAAGTTGGACCCAGAGGGCTGCCCGGGGAGCCGGTAGGTGCGCCGACGGCTGAGAGTCTGGGTCTCAGCAGTGTGGGTACCATGCCGCAGCGAGGCCGCCCCTGGAGTAGGACTAGCAGGCGCTGTGAGAGGGTCTGCCTGGTGTGCAGTCCTGGCCTCGCCCTGGGAGAGAACAGAGGAGCACACCCGGGGCCGGGTGGCAGCAGGGAAAACATCCCAGCCTTCCCTGCCCCTGCGGGCACCCAGCTGCTGTGGGCTGGGGCCCTGGCTGTCACAGAGCTGCGCCAGCCACTCCGCCCCGTCCTGCTGGCTGTGCCTTCCCAGCCCTGACAGGGAGAAACTTTGCTCAGCCCACTTGCATGTAGGCCCCGAGCACACGTTCTCCATGGCACAAGGACACTAATTACTTCTCAGTGGCTGCAGCTCTGAAACCTCTTTTCTCGTTGTCCAAGCCGGCCAGGCGGCTGTTGGCATCTGGCGACATTAATTGATGAGAAATATTGTGCACGCTGCGCCGGAGAGGGCGGGGTCAGCGAATGCACATCCGTCTGGGGCTGAATTAAACCCTGGGTGTCTGAGGAGCCCCTGAGGAGGATCCGGCCACCCCGCTGTCCTTAACACACATCAAGCAGTACCTCCTGGGTTATTAGCTTCCGAGAAACATTTCCTCGCCGAGGTATTAAATTACAGAGGAAGCTCTTGAGAGGCGGTGAACGCGAGAAGGGTTTCTATGGAAAGGTTCTACGGAAATTAAAGGCAGTTGGAATCGCTGGGCTTTGGTTAAAGGCTCGGTTGTTTCCCCCGGGGCCGGGAGATGTGGGCCACCCTGTGGCAGAAGGTGACATCCGGAGGGGTCTTGGGCTGTGCCTGCTCCACGGTGCTTGGGCCGCTGTACACAGCCCCTCGCTGCTGGGGAGGGAATGACAGCTTGTGGCCAGAGAGGCGGCCTCCAGCAAGACCCTGAGCTCCTGTCGGAGGAGGCCTCGTCTCTCCTGGCCCTGTTTCCCAAGCGCCTCCGTCTTTGAAACCAGCCGCAAGGCTGCGTATCCTTGCGGAGAGGGTGCTTGCCTTTCTGAGGCTGCCCCTCCATTCCGATAACCCCCCTCTAATTCAGTAAGGAGGCCCAGCGGCTCCTTGGCCACCCGAGTCCTGGGCCGTAAGGGGTTAATCTTATCCCTTAGTTACTGCAGAATGGTCAGGACAGTGAAGGCTCAAATAAATGAGACAAATGGTGTGACTTTAGGGCTCAGGAGGTTCCAAACCCACTCACAGAATTTGAGATTCTCTGGGGCTAAGACCCGGATCTTCTCTGGGTGGCCCATGTTTATTTAGTTTTCAAAGGAACGGGATGCTGAAGAAAACGTGGGAATGAGGAACTTTTCCCAGGTAGTAAATTCTGTCAACCAGGAGAATGTCCTTATTTCCAGGTTGACGCTGCTAACGGGGATGCAGAGCCCGCAGCTGGAGCCTGCTTTTAGTTAGTTGGGGTGAAGCCAGGCACCCTCAGCTGTGGCCAGGGATGGACTCACTAGGAAACGTGGAAAGCCATGCGGTCAGTTTTAGGTCCTGCTCCGAGCCACTTCATGGTGGCCTCTGGGAGAGCCCAGGCAGGGCCTGCCATTGCTGGGGGAGGGGATGAGGACCAGCGCTCCAGGCCTCTGACCCTTCTTTTTTCTTTCCTCCTGCAGGGGCCACGGGGTCTGCTTGGGCCGAAGGGGCCCCCAGGCCCTCCAGGACCCCCCGTAAGTGCTGTTGCCTCTTGGCATATGTGGGCCCTTGCCGCCTAGCTGGTGACCCCTGGGGCGGTGGGGCGGACACTGCAGGTCTGACTGCCCAGTGTGGGGCACAGGTGGAGGCTGGGCGGTTGGCCCCACCACCTACCCAGGCCGTTTCTCCTCCCTCCTGGCATGCAGCACCCCTATTTCTGTGACAAACAGTCTGCAGGAGGCATCTTCCAGCCCAGCTCCGGCGCTGGGGATTCTTCGGGTGGGCCTCTCCCGGAGGGCTGGGCGGCTCTGCAGGGCCTCGACCCAGCCTCCCTCAAGCTCACCCCACCCCGCCCCTGCCGTGGTGCTGGGCCCGGCGGCTCAGCTCTCTGCTGGCTGAGGGCTTGGAGCAGAGAAGTGGATGCTCAGGGAAGGGACTTGGGGCCAGCCCTTCGCTCCCCCAAGGATGTCCCACAGGTGGCAGGCGTCTGAGTGGGACTTCTTTTCGAGTACTGTTCACTTGTCTACATTCAGTACGTGTGTTTTGAATCTCAGGGTGTGACGGGTATGGATGGTCAGCCGGGCCCGAAGGGCAATGTGGTGAGTCCTGGGTCCCAAGGTCTGGCTCCATGGTGGGGCTGGGGAGGCCCTCACTGTCACAGCAGGATGGGACGTGAGCCCCAGCCCACTGCCCCTGGAGCAGGAGTCTGGCTGTCCAGCACCCTCAAGGTCAGGGAGGTCACCTTCCTGCAGGAGGAGCTGGCAGCAGGTGACCCAGCCAGTGAGGCTCCCTCTGGGCACTGTGTATTCCAAGGGCACTGCAAACGTTAAGGCAGGAGGGTACCCCAGTGGTTTCTGCTCAGTGAAATACTTCTCCACTTGGTTCAGGGGCTGGGGCAGCAGTCCCATGGCCTCCAGTGCTGGCTAGGCCTCTGTGGAGGGACTCTGACTCCATGTTTAGCTGCTGGGCAGATAAGAGCAGATGGGTGGCCAGGGACGGAGGCGCAGTTCCTGAGCCCCTTTGAAGGGCTTTGCTTTTGTTTCCCCCAGGGCCCCCAAGGAGAGCCCGGCCCCCCAGGACAGCAGGGTAACCCTGGTGCCCAGGTAAGTGGATGTTGGCCAAGTAGCCCGGGGCGTCTGCCAAGGGTAGGGCAGACAGATATAAGTCCCTCTGAGTCACTGGACACTCTTGGTCCCTGGGGGAGTAGAACCTGGTGGGTGCCTGGGTGCGGGAGGGGCTGGAAGGGAGATGGGTGGGGTGGGGGCCCGGAGCTTGTCCTTGCCCTCACCTCTGCTGTCTGGCTCTGTCCCCCCAGGGTCTTCCAGGCCCCCAGGGTGCCATCGGTCCTCCAGGAGAGAAGGTGAGTGGGCCTGAGCAAGGGGGAAGGGCAGCCCACCCGCCTGTGGCCACACCCCCTGGTCCAAGCCCCACTTGGAGCCTGTGCCGGTGCTCTCCAGAAGGCCCCAGAGCTCAGCCCTTTGGAGCCAAGCACTTCAGCCAGGAGGAAGATCGGGGCTCTTCCGTCATAAATGCACTCACTCATCCTCCTGCTGTGATAGGCATGCCAGAGTTAGCAACAACAAAGGGACAAGGCACCTAGTTGATTGTGAAGCCTGTTGTTTCTCTAAAGTTCAGGTTTAGCTGGGCACCTTGTTTGGTGTTCAGTTTCATGGTTTGCCTCTGTCTTGCTAGACACGGGGACCCTAAGGAGCTGGCCCACGGGTCTGCCTTGCCTGGGGTAGGGTAGGGGTAGAGTGGGAGTCCTAGTGGGTGCATGGCTGACCCAGGCTCCCAGTGTGTGAGGCCACGTACAGCACCACAGTGGGGACCAGCGTGTATCCCTCCAAGGGCTGGTCCAAGTGGCTCAGAAGCCCAAGGGCTTAAATGCCCAAAGATGGGGACCCATGACACTGTGGCCTGGGCCCTTCGCCTGGCTGCAGTGGTACAGGAAAGTGCCCCCAGCTCACACCTGCACCAGTACCCGTGGGGTGGAAGTGTTGGAGCTTAGCCTTGGGGCCACACCGAAGGGTGGGCAGGTCTGGGGAAAGAGGCGAGCTGGGGCATTTCCTCATGGGTGTCTGGTCTGTTCCAGGGCCCTCTGGGTAAGCCAGGCCTCCCAGGAATGCCTGGCGCTGACGGACCCCCGGTGAGTAGCTCTGCGCAACCCCCACACTCCTGCAGGCTCCACCCCAGGGCTGGGCTGGGGCCAGGGCTCAGGGACTAGGGCGGGCATGACTTCCTCTCTCCAGATCTGTGCTACGTGGCGCGTGTGGCCCAGTGCTTGTTTTATCATGGATGGGGTTGGCGACTGCACAGGCAGGGACAGTGGCAAGGGCTGGTTGGGCGCTGAGCCAATGCCGAGGACTCAGAAGCTCTGGGCAGAAGGGCCGCTGTGCTGCATGTATTTTTAGGGTTCGTGCCTCGCGTGGGGAGGTGGGAGTGAGTGTGCTTGCGTCGTGTGAGCACACAGCTGCGCCCGAGTTAGCTATGCCTGGAATAGCAAGTCGGTGACAGATCCAAGCTGTGCAGAGGGAGGTGTGGGGTGGTGGGGACGCTTGGGTGTGAGCAGGCGTGTGCCGGCCAGGGTTACGGGCTCCGCCCACCGCCCTCTGCAGGTGCCTCCACCCTGGGCTAGCTCAGGAGCGCTCGGAGGGTGCAGAAAGGGAGCCAGTGTGGGCGTCCAAGACGCACTAACGTAGGTATTTAGGGCAGTGTGTGCCCTTGCTCTAAGAACACCATTAAAACCTAAACAGGAAGCAGGGCCTGTTGGCAGGTAATTGGTGCCTTCCGTCCCCGGCCGAGGGTCCCGTGGGCCCGTGGATCACCAATCTCAGCCACTGTTTTCGGATCTGAGCAGACAGATCACTCCCCTCCCCATGTGGACTCGCTCCACAAGGGGCTGGGATGCTAAGGGCTTCGTCTTCCCACCGTGACACTTGTGTCTTGGATTTGTGTTTGTGTTGAGCTGGATTTTCTCATGCTGCCTGGATGCATTTTCCTGTAGATAATTAGAGAAGTAAATAAAATGGTGACAGCATAGAAGCCACATGGGGGCATCTGTGCGGCGTCACCGGGGACCACAGGCTGCTGTGTTCCTCCTATCCTCGGCCTGCAGCAGGTGACACACAGGCACATGTGCAGGGGGGACCCGCCCTGACCAGCTGCGTTCCCTCCTCAGTTGGGTCTTGAGGGGCCACTGGCCCCCTTCGTCATGCTGCCGGCAGGCCAGGACCTTCATGGTCCCCTTCCCTGGGGGCCAGCAAGCTGTTCCCCCAGCTCTGTCTCTCTTTTGAGCCAGCGTTTAAGCTATGAAGTGTCCTTTAATGTGGGTCACAGAGAAGAGGCTGGGAACAGCAGGCGGAAAGGGACTGCATAGAGAAGCCCAGGAAGGAAGCCCCCAACTTATGCATGTGTGGAGGAGAAAAGTGAAATTATTTTTCTCTGTGTCTAGTGCTGTGCGGTGTGCCTGTCATCCCGGGGCGCTGGGAGGCCGAGGCACGAGGGCCACAAGGTCTGGCCTGGGCAGCGCAGCAACTTTCTGAGACACTGTCCCAAAATGAGAGAGGGCAGGGACAGAGCTCAGTGTGAGGCCCTGGGTCCAGTCTCCAGTAGTGCGCACACACACACACACTCACACACGCACACATGCATGCACACACACATGCACGCACACACATGCACGCACACACATGCATGCACACACATGCACTCACACGCGCACACATGCATGCACACACATGCACACATGCACACATGCGTGCACACACATGCACTCACACATGCATGCACACACATGTACTCACACATGCACACACATGCACACACGCACACATGCACACACACATGCATGCACGCACATGCATGCTCACAATGCATGCACACACGTACTCACACATGCACTCACACATGCACACATGCATGCACACATGTGTGCGCGTGCACACACACTCACATGCACACATGCATGCACACACATGCACTCACACACGCACACATGCACACATGCATGCACACATGCACACTCACATGCACACATGCACGCACACACATGCACTCACACACATGCATGCACACATGTGTGTATGCACACATGCATGCACACACATGCACGCACGCACACATGCACGCACATGCATGCACACACATGCACACACACACATGCACACATGCACACACACACATGCACACACACACACACACACCCCTTCTCTCCTTTGCAAAGACAGCAGTGTTGGTCAACCTGAAAGAGAGGATTGCTCGTGTCTCTTGGATTGGTTTGGTTTGGGTTCTGGAGAAAGCAGGGCTGAGCTAAGAGGGGTCAAGGAGCAGCAGACATCTCAAGGCTGATTCAGTGCTGTAGTGTTAGTCACCCTCAGAACACACCGGAGAGGAGGTAAGTGGATCACAGGTCAACGGAATATTATGGAACCAGTAAAAAGTCGAGCTTCAGCGTCCGTCTGGTGACATGAAGAAATGCTCATGTTCCCCTATTAGATGAAAGCTCCTTCCGCCGTGCGCACGGTGCACGGGCACCTGGCAAGGCTCCAGGTCAGGAGCTCCACGGCCCAGTTAACCACGGCGGCTGTGAGGCTGAGGCCGGGTGCTTCTGAGCCCCTTGCCTAATCGTCAGCAGTGAACATATATTACTTTTTTAATCACAAAAATATCAAGTACTAATAATTTAAGCCTAATTATTTTCCCATCACGAAAGCCAGGCTCATGACAGAATGCTGAGAAAGCCAACAAGGGCAAGCTGGGCTTGCAGCTTGCGGCCCAGGGCCCTGCACTGCTTGGCGCTGCCCTGCCTGTGTCTCTGGGCTCTGTGCCCTGGAACTGCCCACCCCCAGAGGTGCCTAACAGAGATGGCAGAGTTGGCTTGGGACACCCTGGGCACCCCAAGCCACACCCTCTTGGCGCTGCTGGGGCTTTGCCCTGGCACCCTGAGCTGCTGGCACCAGGAGCACAGGTGCCATTCTTGGAAGGCGAGGGGTAGCCAGCGATGTCCCCTTGGGCCAGAACAGCCCAGGTGAAGGACTCAGAACAAAAAAGCTGGGCATGGTGGTGCATACCTGAACGCCAGCTACCCTGCCGTGGAAGCTGAGGCAGGAGGATCAAAAGTTCAAGCGCAGCCCAGGCCACTTAGTAGGACCGTATCAGCATAAAAAGTAAACGGAGGGCTGGGCGATAGCTGGGTGGTCCAAGTGCCTGCCTGGCAAGCGCAAGGACCCAGGTTTGATCTCCGGTACCGCATGCTGGGCCAGCCCTGGAACCTAAAGTGTGCATGTTGGCTACTGAAACCAGGCGTGGTGGTACATGCTTGTAATCCCAGCGCTGGGGAGGCTGAGACAGGAGGATCACTATGAGTCCGAGCTGCACAGAGAGACCCTGTATCCAAAAAAGTAAATGGCCGGGAATGAAGTTCGGTGTGAAGGCCCTCAGTTCAATCCCTAGGACCTCAAAAAACAACAAAAAAGAGCGCAGGCAAATTTTTCTTAGAGGACTCCACAGCTGGGTCTGGAGCCTAAACCCCAGATGTGGCGACTACTCGGACCCTGGCAGTGCCCAGGTGTGAAGACCTGGGCGCACAGCGATCCCCAGCCAGATCATGAGATACCGTGGCTCTGCCCGCCTCCCCTGGGTTTCCAACATCACGTGGTATGGCTTGCAGCGGCCAGTGGGGACTTGCTGGTCTGGGCGGCCGCAGTGCCTGGAGCCAGGCCCCAGCCGCTCACCCAGCACCTCTTTTGCCACGCAACCTGCGCAGTGTCCTCCTCGTCCTTGTCCTGCATCTGTGTGTGGTGGGATCTGACCTGAGTGTGGGCTGGATGCTGTGACAGGACCCACTGGCTCGTGGCCACCCTCACACTGCACCCCAGCGTGGGATACACATGCCCCTCAGAGATAGGGCTGGCTGTGGTCAGGGCTGGGCTGACGCTTCCCGTTGTCCCTTTGGAGAGGGGCTGGGAGTGACCAAGCCCTGCTGGGCCACCTGTGCTGCCGTCTTTGAAGTCCTGCTTCCTGGGGAGGAAAGAGTTGGGGGCTGTGACCACCTTTGCGAGATGTCGGTGGGTGGCGGAGGGGAAGCCGAGGGGTTGCCCTCGGAGGCGATGGCTGACTGACGCCTTTCTCTTTCCTGACAGGGGCACCCTGGCAAGGAAGGCCCTCCAGGGGAGAAAGGAGGCCAGGTGGGTCCTCTCTGCACCCGGCAGTCAGTCACCGCCAGCACATAGCCCTGTACCTCTGCTTGACGGGAGGTGCTGCCACCTCAGGCCAGGGCGCTTCACTGGGGCGCCCGTCTCTGACGGCAGCTTCCGTGGCCTTTCCTCCTGTCCCAGCCTGTGACCCTTGGTCTCTGGGCTGCTGGAGTGTGACGGGCGGCTCTGTTGACCCCAGCTGTCCACACCACCTGGAGACGTGTTCCGCTCTCTTGGTCACTAGCAGGCTGTGTGTGGGGGGTGGCTGGGATGTCAGCTGTCCTGTGCCAAGGACCTAGAGTTGATGGCAGTGGCCCAAGAAGCCTCCTCACAATGAGCTGACAGCGTTTCCCTTTGGTTTTAGGGTCCACCTGGCCCCCAGGGCCCCCTAGGCTACCCAGGCCCTCGAGGAGTCAAGGTGAGTGGACTCTTCAGCTCTAGGTTCCGTGGAGGTCAGGATGGGTGGGGCCAGTGTGGCCGGCCCTGAGGATTCCCTGGGTGGCACCTCCATCCGGCCCCCCAAAGTTGCCCAATCTTCTGAGTCAGGATGGGGACCCCCAGTTGGGTCCCTGTGACACCAGGAAGGGCTGAGTTGGAGCAGGGGACAATTTCTGGTTGGCTCAAGGAATAGGTGGTGGACACTGGCCATCTGTTGGGACTGCTGGACTGTCACTCTCCCTCTGCCCCCATCGCCAAGCCGGGGCCATGCTCAGGCCTCTGGCAGCCACGGTCTCGGCCCAGGCAGGGTGCTTGGCCTCTTGGGAGCTCAGGTGCGCATCTGCATCTTTGAAGCGGTCTGGGCAGCCAGCACCGCTGGGGGAGCCGTGGGCGGCGTGTGCCTGCTCCTGTTGCGGTCCTCCTGCTCAGCCTCCAGCATGCTCCCGTGTCCTGTCAGCACTAACCGGGCTTGCTCTGAGCTGCGTGATCTCATGTTACGTGGCTCACCCAGGTGCAGCGGGACGTGTGTGGGCCAGGTAGGTCTCCTCCTTCTCCACAGCAGCAGCAGCAGGAGACGCTGTAGCAGCTCAGCTCGGGACAGCTGGGGTCAGTCCTGTCGTTCAAGATAATTTTAAGCTGAAGGAGGGGAAACACAGACTGCAAGCTTGGGACCAGGCTCCAGTTTGGGGAGTTTGACCTTGTCCAGCCTTGTTGCCTGCAGGGGTGCACAACGGTCCAGAAAGCAGGACCAAAGCTCCCAGGGAGCCCCAGCGCAGCAGTGCTGAACGCCACATACCAGTTGGTGCTTAGCCGCGGACTTGTGTGCTCCTGGCTCAGTGTCACTCTCTGTCCCCAAGTGGTTCGAGCTGCTGAGTCCCAGGAACCAGGAAGCTCCAAGCTCAAGAGCAGCCAGGAGTGACCTTCCCGGGGGCGGGAGCTTTGGGCGAGTTGGGCTCCCCCATAGCATGCTTTACCAGCAAAATGCCTAATGCATTTTAGAAGGGTGATAATTTATCAGCAGTGCTGATTATGCAAGCCCAAAGACGCATGTTTATCTTATAGATTCCAAGCCGTTGGCAGTCCCTGTGCATGGCTAATTGCATGAGGCTTCTGCAAGCTGAAAGGTGTTTGCCTTAAAATGTTCCCGGAAGATGCTCTTATCTGTTTGTCTGATTAACATTCACTCATGACATGAGCAATCCGGTTAGACTTGGAAGCAGACAGTGCAAGGAAAACTGAGGCTCAAAGCAGCTCTACTGGGGAAACGGAGCTCGGAGCCTGCTGAGCTCAGCCTGGACTGTGTGGGTGTGGCAGAGCTGTGGGTGGGAACAGTGGTCGGCTGCTGCTGCACAAGAAGGTGGTCCTGGGTTTGAGGGGTGCAGTCACTGCCCCCTAAGGCAGGACCTTTTCCTGTGGCGGGGTCTGCCATAGTCTGTGTTGTCTCAGTTGCTTTCTCGTTGCTGGGATCCAACACCTGATGTCAGCAAATTAAAAGAGGGAAGGTTTATCCTGGTTCACATCAGCCCATGGCCTGCCGGCTCCAGGGCAAGACGGCTTGGCAGAGGGGCCTGGGGGCGGGCAAGCTGCTTGGGTCACGGTGCACAGGAAGCAGAGTCGAAGGAGGAGCCAAAGGGGAGATGAACTTCCGGGTCGCAGCCACAGTGACGGCCTCTCCTGCAGCTTTGTGTGCTGTGCTCCAGTCACCTCCCCAAGCTCAGCCTACAAGTGCCTGAGGCTCTTGGGGACCTCGAGGTAGAAATCAGAACGGGCTGCTGTCACCCAGATCCCACAAACTAGAGACTGGGCCACGACACATGTCTCCTATGCTAGTGCCAGGGGCTGGAAGCCCAGGCTGAAGGGACCAGCAGGTTTCACGCCAGGCGAGGGCCGCTGTCCACTTCATGGGTGGTGTCTTTGCTCTGTGTCCTGGTGTGGAAGGAGGGGCCCAGGCCCTTGGGCTTCCTGGGGGACTCTGTCCCTTTGCAAGGCTCCCCTCTGGTGGCCCAGGCCCTTGGGCTTCCTGGGGGACTCTGT